CTGCATGTGCCGAACCGTGACGTCCGAACCGTGACGTCCGAACCGTGACGGTTCGGGACGAATACGGATACCGTTACACCCCTAGTGGATACTAAAACTAAGCTAGTGCTAACTGACTAAGCTAAATGCTATAAGTACAGTAAATATTGGACTTCAATTTCTCGTGATAGACAAACAACTGTCAACCGTATGCTAACTTACGTACTGTATGTGAGCCTATATATCCATAACATCTTAGTAATAATATAGCAATGTTAACCCGTTGCCAATGCTTTAAATGCTAAACTTTATGAATGAACCTCCTGAAAACCTGGACTGTAGCTTCGTGCTTTAAGAGGTGAATGTCTGTGGTGATTCTTTGGGATGCAGGTGTGAGCGTGTGCTGAATTTCTTCTAACTTTGGACACAAAGGATAAATCTCTCCACACACGTTTAGAAACAGGGGAGCAAACTGGGGCTCCGAGAGCTCGTTCGTCTTCATTCGTCCACTGAACCCGCTCTCACTTTCCTCTCATAACTTTCTATATATAACCAGCTGCATTGTTCTGCTCCTCCCACATCTAAACTCATTTAATCTGCCCCGAACAATAAGGAGAATAAAGATAAATGTCTCAATCTGTAACATTACTGTCACATAATATCTAGCTATAGCAGCGAAATGGGGTTTTCGGCTCTCTACCTGCAGTAAGTGGCATATGTGACTGGAAGTGTGAGATAAATGAAAAGGAGCCTGTCTAAAACAACAAAGATAATACATTTAATATTGTTTCTCTTTTGGGCAATGTGAGATACAATGTAAACATGTACATTACAAGATACAAAAAAAAGGAACAAGACTTGTCAAAATGAAGGGGTAGATAAGAAAATGTCCTGTTTTCAAAAGGAATGCACTTGTGCAAAATGTCTCCAATCAGAAAGGAATTTGGACAGTTTTTTAGATGTCTTTGTTTTTTGTCCTAGTGTAACGATGCTTTCAACAGATCCATGAGGCCTTGTCACCATAAGCACAGACAACTCTTCATTGGAGGACACATTCACTTTAACAGAGGCATAAAGCTCCTCATGGCATACCTTTTGAAAACAAGGAGCTTGCAAGAGTTAAACACAATTTGCATAACAACAATGGTAATAAAAAAATAAAGAAAAACAGAAATGAAAGAATAGCACCTCCTTTGGTCCAACTCGAGGCCTGTAGTTCTTGTTGTGTTTGACATGCTGGTAACGGATCGTTTTAGTCAGTTTACAGATCAAGAGCGTGATGGCGTCGGGCTTCCAAGGTTTTGTTGTTGTTTGGCACACTGCTCTCCACAGCGGGGTGGTGACAGATTATATTCTATAAATTCAACATCCAGGCTAAAAACAGTCTCCACTTTCTCATAAATCGACCTCAGCTGTAACTCCACATCAATCACTGGTGACAGCTCGGCTCCAACGCTAAAATATGGCTGAGGCCCCCACGCAGGATGGCAGCCGCCGCAGCGGTGTTGGCGATTAGGAGGAAGCTGTTAGCGTTGGAGTATCGTCTGACTGGGGAAGGTTAATTAAGACACACTGTTGTGCTAATTAGAAACAGGGATTCAAACCGAGACAAAGAAAAGAGTTACAGAGACACAGCTGCGCGCCTCATTCCTCGACACAGCCCCACCCCGGAGAAGGCTCCCGCTGATGCCCGCCGGCTCCTCAAACAACTGCATTCTGTGAGGAAGTTTTCAGAATGACATAAATAATCAGCATACTCTGACGTAAGCGCCGGGGATTTTTCCTTTTTTTACCCCAAACTCTGCAGCTTTACTCATTCTTTTCCTTTCTTCCCTCACACTAACTCAAACTAAAACAACTAATTAATAAAATAACATGCAAAATCATCTTCCTAAATACCTCAAACACACTCCCACACTTGCTAAAACTTTCTTATCAAACCTACCCCTCCTTCTGTCAACCTTTATAACTCCATCACTCTATTCCAGAGCTGGGTGACTTTCAAAGCCCTTTCTTGATTCATTTTCATTTTTAATTCAAGCTTCATTAGACGTGAACAAACACTTCCAATCCTGTGATACACTTCCGCAACATTCAATTCTTTTCTCAACAAAAACACAAGGCAAAACAAATAAGAATCCACCATTTGAAGCCTTTTTTTACCGTGGCATTCCAAAAAACTTTCTTCCAACACTGAGCTCGACGCTCACCCCCTCAGGGCTACATAAGATCTGAGCACTCTGACAGCAAAAAGGAGCTACGATAAGACGTGGGATCACTTTTTAAAGTTATTCTGTGGATTGAGAGTGAGACTGAGAGGAGCTTCAGAGCTGAGAACTCGCCCGTCTCTCGCTGACTTGCAGTTTCTCGCAAAAGCAGCTTCGAGAACTTCAAGTGCTGCAATTACAACATCGTTTGGAGCAATGAGATCACAGCTAAGGTGGGGAAGCTGAGAGCTCATTACATTGCGTTTTGTTGAAGGCGGGTATACGGAGTTGGATGCAATGGGTTCCCTGTCAGAAGGAACTCTTTTTCATAGTTTTCAGAGTGGAAACATTACCCATTAGCCTTCTCCTATTAAAGCAGAGCTTCTCTCATCTTGTCTCCTAGAATCCACTTTCTGATCCTTCTCCCTGCGTCCTGCTCTCACAAACTTCTTCCTTGACCTCCAAATTCTCTTCTTCTAAGTGCACTTGCAAACTATCCATCTCATCATCCAAAAACACACACACCCCACTCGAACCCTTCTGGATTTCTCAATGGTTCCACCGGGACCGCTCAGCTGTGTCGAGGAAGGACGGATATGGAAATAAGTGTTGAGGGAAGAAAGAAAGAGGAAGGGGAAACAGGAGGAATACGCAGCTTGTGTTTGGGATTACAGGGTTTAAGGTGTTTCACGCCTGAGGTGCCGTCCATTTGTTAAAATAAAAAGAGAGCAAGGAACAAAACCAGAGTGCCGGTGCAGTGAACCTCCGGGGATTGATCAATAAGCTGCTTTTTCATCATCATCTAGAGTGTGTTGGCATGCGGGATGCAGAAACATTACCGCTGCCAATCCCATTTCCATTCTGCCGTGGGGTGCACTGAGGGTTGAGAGTGGTGTAGCTAACGTCATGTCAATAACCTGCTTAAAAAGCTGAGGGTTAGGCTAGGTTTCTTCTACAGGAACAAGTCCTGTTTCTCGCTCGAGGCCAGTAAAAGGCTAGTCACTGTGACCTTTTGACCTGTGCTGGACTATGGTGATCTGATATATATGAATGCACCTGCCAATTGCCTGGTCAAGTTAGATGCTGCGTATCACAGTGCACTGAGATTTGTGACAAACTGTAAAGTATTAACTCATCACTGTACCCTGTATGCAAGGGCTGGTTTGCCTTCACTAACTGTACGGAGGCTCACTCACTGGTACATTTTTATATATAAAGCCATGTTAGGGAAACTTCCATCCTACATCTGCTCCCTGATCTCACGGCGAATTGTAAGTGGCTACTGGCTGAGATCGCATGCTGTGGTTTTATTAAATGTGCCAACTGCTAGGACTGTCTTAGGGAAAATAGCATTTAGATGCGCAGCTCCTCTGTCTTGGAACAGTCTGCAAATTAAATGGAAACTGAGCAATCTGGTGCCACTAAATGTTTTTAAAGCTCGGTTGGATGCTACTCAATCGGAAGCTGTTGTACCTGTTCATGTGGATAGTTATTGTAAATTGTAATCCCTGTAATGATGCTGTATGATGTCCTTTTGTTGTTCTGTTTATGTTTTTATGTTTCATGTGGAACCTACTTGAGCAGGTCTCCCTTGAAAAAGAGATCAATGATCTCAATGGGATACAACCTGGATAAATAAAGGTTTGAAAAAAAAAAAAAAAAAACGAGGCTGAGCTGGTATGAAAAAGAAGCCTGTAACCTAAAAGAACACTTAGTCGTTTCGGTTAATAAACGTATTTGCTTTTTTGAGAAGAGTTTGATAAGATGATTGAGACAACTCTCATGTCTTGACGCTAAATAAAAAGCTAAAGGCAAGAGATAATTAGCTTAGTTTAGCAAGACAATTAGAAGGATGGGTAAACTTAGCTAGCGAAGTTCTATCTAAAGGAGGAGAAATCCCACCTACCGTTCCATAAAGCTCAATAATTATATGATCTGGGTTTATGTCATTGATTTGATGGCTACAGAAACCAAAGGTTAGGCAGGGAAAATGTGTGGTTGCAGCCGGGATTATCTCTTGGCCAGGTGCAGTGATTTATGGCATTTTATTTGGTCAACATAAGTGTAAAATCAAAATATTTGTGTTTGAAGTCTTAGGTATTAAGTATTACGTTTTATTTCATTCTCAGGGCTAGGTGTTTCCCGCTACTCTAAGTATGTATGCTAAGCTAAGATAACCGTGTAGCTTCATAATACAATATTTTCTACAGACCTGGTTTAAGACATTTAAAAAATACATTGTTTGAGTGATTGTCTGATTTAACAAAACACTTTAATTACCTTGTTAAAAATGTCCTCTAATTGAATCTACTTTTTCTGGTGCATTGAAATTCCAGAATATATGCATATATATATTTGGAGCATAACAAAATGCTTATTATTCACTAAACTCTTGTAATGCTCAGTTTATATTAATGGGAGGCTTTCATTTTCCACATAAGAAATGTATGGGAGGAGCTAAACGTTCCACGCTGGAGCCGATTGGCGCATACACACCTTTAACCCTAATTTAACTAAGTTTAGAAAAGCACTCCCCTATTAGTAATTAAAGTAAAAAACTCACTTATATCGTTTTGCGAAGTGAAGCTCAAACACACAAGTGGGTTAACAAAGAGCTACATATTTGTTGGAGTTGAGGGGGGCTTATGTTTTAACAACACGAGTAGGCCTTTTCTTCTCATATAACTCTCAGCAAGAAAGCAATCAGGGTATATCCTTTAAGGTGGAGACAACCAGCCGGACAAAAGCATATGGACACAAGCCCCCCTAACAGCAGAGGGAACAATGTGTATTGGCCTGTACACGCAGTAAGTATTTAGCACAATGACGCGTTTACCTGTAGCGCATGGATAAGGCCTGCCTGGGGCTGAGCACAGAGACAAATAAAGGTTTTTCTATTTTTGGGGTACAATCCTGGAAGCTGATGGATTGAACTGAAATGGCCTGAAGGAGCGTTCATCTCCCTGCTCTCTTGTTTACCGCAGAGACGGTTCCAAATGTCACCTTCCGTTGTGGTGATTGGTGAGGAAAAAAGTCTGACTTGGTTTGACAATGGTGGGGTACATGTCAAGAGAGGCTTCTGCGTGGGTGCTGAGAGGACACACTCCAGAGAACTAACAAAAAAGGAGAAAACAACAACACAAAAACAAGAAACTATCAAAATTCCATTCAGGCACGAACGTGACAGGCCGCTGAGGCCCCTGATGATGGGCCCCTGACTCTCTATCCGTGAAGAAAGACCCCAGATGGCTGTAAAGTCAGTACAGAACGGGTCAGTGGGTTTCTGCCATGCCATTCATAATCACTGTCCAGAGATTCTCATGCGAGTTTTTATTATAAAAGTCCGTCCCGTCAGGAGATAATGAGATGTCACATACGACGGCTTTGGTCCGATTACTTTTCCAACGCTAACACATCTGCTCTTTGAGATCCTCTTGAAACGATACACTTGAAATGACGGTAAAAGCTCATGACTGGCAGTTTGACGGGGAGTATCTACTCCCAGCAGATGAAATGGCATTGTTGACGGCTTTCTTTCTACACCTGTAATTCTCATCCTCTTGTTGAAGCATGATGTGTTTCTTATCTATTGCACACTTCCTCGTGGGTACATTTCAGAATTTGACAAATAGGGTAAAAAAGACACACAAAAAAAAAGCATGAATAAAGACGCTACACAGCTAAATGTATGCTCGACACAAAACGATTCCCTTGCTATTTTAGCCAGTAAATTCAGCTCAATCAATAAAAGCAATAATAATAGTGCTGGAGCGAAATGTACAAAGTGATTTAACACATTTACATAATGCCTTCGTCTTGTAGGGAAGGGGAACTGCATACAGCAAATCAACTGATTAGTTCTGAATTGTATTATGTATCCTTACATTTTTTCATATACTTCAACAAATGCAATTGCTTCACATACTCAATTAAATGATGATATTTTGCATATCAATGTGAGTGAAGTCCAATTTCTTTCAAAAGAATGATCTGTATAAGCTATACAGTAATATTTTGAGTGGGGGAATAAGGTGATTGTCAAACTGAAATTAGATATAAAACTATTCATAATAAATATGCATAAATCAGGCATTATGTAAAGCACAATAAAGATGAAGGAAGTGCCCTTTTTTTGCTAAAGTTGCAGCATACAGCATAGAGAAAAAAATCAGTTTTTAACTTTCAAAAAAATAAATGATTGCCCAATACAAAAAAATGTGTTACAAATTATTTTAGCTGCACCGAGATTTCAAATGAAGTAAAAACAATGTGTACAGACTCACTGGCCAGCAGTGCATTTCGTATTGCACTGAGGTAGGAAGGCTGGGTAAAATCATGTTTAGTACCACTGACCCCCCACTAGAGGTCGCTATGTATCCAATTATACTCAAACTCTGCAGGTTACTGTCTCATTTGAGGTGATGAAAGAAGAATAGATAAATAATTAAAAAAATGTATTCAATAAATATTATGCTGAGTATTGACTGCATCTTCACATTAATGCACCATAAAACAACAGATTTAAAGTGCACTAATTCACAAAACAGAACCACTTCGTTCCTCATTATTGTCCCTGTGTGATCACAGAGTAACAAACAAAAACAAACATAGTTTCGCTAAAATAGATAACTGCGATCTAGCAGGTACTGCACTTGGTTTAATATTGTGATACTGTCCAGCAGAAACATAATGAAAAGCTAGTGCTGCCTCATACCGAGAGCTCACACCGCTCAATAGAAAATGTATTTCAGCAGTCTTGAACATCAGCCATTTGAATTTTTAAAGTTGGATTTGAGCTCAGAAGGTTCAATTCAAATGTTTCAGTTCGGTTTGTGAGGAGAATTATCTCTAACTTCTGTCAATTATCTTTTAATATATGGTAAGTAACCAAACAACAATTGGAAACAACTCTACACACTATGTTGTTTTGTTTAATATCAAAACTTACTTCTAGTTTAAAAATTGTATCAAGTGATTCCAGGTATTGATTTTTCAAAAAATTGTTTAAGGTGTTTTGTTGAATACACTGTATTACTTTTACCATATATCATTTAAAAAATCACAAAAATAGCTAATGCAATCTCTTTGGTTTGATCACATTTGGGATAAATGCTTTGAAAATATGTCCCTGGGATTCAATTATTTCACCACATTTCCAGTACTCAATACATCCCGCAACAGCGGTATTATTACATGTATAGAAACAACTCAATATTTACAATCAAATGTTCCTGGAGCCAAAAGCACTACAGTAAACCAGAACTATGCAAACTAATTGTTTAAAGTTATTTGCTACCCAGATACAGTATGAGGTGGGGTTTTTCTGGAGAGCAAATTACATTTTTCCAGAAAACTATAACGCGTCTGTTATTTTCAAGTTGAACAGGTTTTACACATCTGTTATCCCAGTTACAGCTGGGATTAAAAACATACATATTAGCATGTTTTTCTGGGGTTTAAGAATCTACTACCAAACTTTGCCAATTATTGAAACCTGAGCATCTCCTGCATGTGTTCCAGGAGTTTCACTTCCAATTCAAGGCTGTCGGTGGTAAACAGATGTCACAAGAAAGCAGAAATAATTCTCTACGAAAGACTTGCATCAACATGAGACATTATAACATACAATGATTTAAAGAATACTTATAATGAGATTAAAAGGTTTCAGTTTGCTTGTGGCTTAACACAAATACAATTCTCTGCTGACTGAGTCTAAACCTCAGTTACTTTCTTTAATCTGTGTTGGACCATTCAGAGCACTCTAGATGGAAATCTTGCACTTTGTTTGCACTCTATAGTGGAGCTCTTAACTGGTTATGCAAATTGTCTTGGTGGTGTTCGTAGGCCTATGGCACTCTTAAAAGATTTGGTTGATTTATTGTTTTTCGCAATCCACCATTTAGGACCTCCATTCAGGTGATCAACAAAAGGCACTTATCGGCCATCAGAGTCAGTGATGGGCAGGAATAAGCATAACCATTACCCTGCTCAACTTCTGTATTACATGATGCAAACCTCTTTAAGAGGTTATCACTCCCATTCATACCATTTGATATCTCAAAGACATTACCTCTTCAGATTTCCTCACTCGAGGAGGACCAAACCGACATCCTGTCTCTTAGCCAAAATATTTTAAATCTTTACACTCCTTTTCGTATACATTTTAGTAAACCAGCACTAAAAGTGTCTTTCCTTTTCAGATTAAAACATCTTTCTTTTTTACAAGCTGTCATAAATGTACATTGTTCAAGGACATATTGCTTACGGGTGATTGCGGGTAACATTCTTAAGGAGCCACCAACGTCCTTGGAGTCATCAAAAAGGGGAAAGATAGAGGAAAGGGTAGGGGACGGATGTGGGGTTTATTTTTTCCGCTCTAGATAGTTGGACGGGACCCAACCCTTGCGTGGAAGCAGGCTGTCCTGAACCTGGCAGTACCACCATCCATTGGGGTTTCTTTCCAGCACCTCCAGACAGGTGCCCTCCGTGAAGCCCATTGTCTCCTCATCGCCCCGGTAGTCGGCGATGGACACGTACACATCCCTGCCCAGGTTGTTGTGGATCAGCTGGCTCTTCTCGATGGGCTTGGGTCGCACGGTGGACACAGGGATGCCGTTGCGTTGGTTTACGTTGCTTGTGCTGAACGCGTTACCCGAGGATCCCAGGCTGGAGCGCTCTGCGGGCCTCGTCTGACTTTCCACAACGACATGTGGCCGCACGGTGCTGAACGAGGCATTTCGCCGGACGCCAAGAGTGGCAGAACCGGAACCGTAGTGATCGCTTCTGTGGAGCGTGTCGTTTCGCCTCAGAGAACCCGTCATGTAGTGTCCATCCTTTGATGGCTGTGATGTGGTCACAAATACAGACTGAGGCCTCACTGCCACCTGGCGTACCCCGTTCCTCATCCGAACGCCGCCATTAACTACGGCTGAAGGCTTCGAGAAGCCGCCGGGAGGCTTGGAGGGGATTGGCGGAGTGTTCCTTCTCAAGCCTTGATGCTGCTGATGCTGGCTCAGACCCTGAATGTTGATGTTGTTGAGGGCCAGAACGTGCTGCTCGTTCTTCTCCAGGCTGTTGGACTTACTCCTGCCACTCCTGTGTCCTTCTAGTTCGAACCCACCCACATCACCCACTTGTCTGACAGGCTCCAGGTAGTATGAGGGAGCCCAACCTTCTTCAGATACCCAACGGATGTACCACCAACCGCTCTCCTGCTTCTCCAGAACCTCAACCTCCACCCCGGCTGGAAAGCTGATCTCAGAGTCCTGGACCTTCTTATAGACATCCAGGGAGCGGTAGAGAGTGGGGCCTTCCACGTCCGAGTCACCGCGGCTCCCTTTGGAGTATACTGAAGAGAGATCTGAGGTGCTGCGCGAACACATGGAGTCCTCGGATGATATGACAGAGCCTGTTTCAGATTCGTCGCGAGTAGGTTTGAGGCCATGAGGCCGATACTGACTGGTAGGCCTCAGCTGCCGCCTCAGAGAGCTGATGTCCATCCTCTCAGGACTCTGGGGCTCAGATTTGGTCAGGAGAGGTTTAGGTCTGACAGAAGGCTTAGGCCGGGTGGAGGGGCTCTGACCTATTCTCTGCTCCACATCCCGGCTAAAGGGAGCACCTTTCTTGGAACCTCTGGTCAATTCATCTGATGAAGAGTGGGGGCTGCTGTCCTGAGAGCTCAGGCTGATATCTATGTGTCTGCCCAGGGTCTGGCTTCTCCGTGTCATCTCTGGCGTCATGGTCTTCATGGGTCTACCTGCTAAAGGCGAGGATCCGGAGAGTTTGCGAGGGACTGTGGAGGAGCGATAGCTCCTTGGGGAACTCGGCTCACTGGAACCTTTGACTGAAGTCCTCTCAGCACCACTGCTTGGCCTGAAGTCATTCTCATAGATACACTCCTCTTTGGAGACCTCCTCCACAGACCTGAAGGAAGTTCTCCGACGAGTGAACACAGGGGACGCCTTGCAGACTGGAGGGGAGGCCTTGCAGACTGGAGGGGAGGCCTTGCAGGAAGGAGGGGAGGCCTTGCAGGAAGGAGGGGAGGCTTTGCAGGAAGGAGGGGAGGCTTTGCAGGAAGGAGGGGAGCTGCGGTACTTGTCGCTCACCACGCTGCTGATCTTCACATCCAGGGCACGTTCATCCTTAAGGGAATCGGTGTCCGATTCACCTTCACATCCGACTGCAGGAATATCATATTCAGGCTCCTCGTACACGGGCCTGCTCACCGGCTCTGAGACTTTTGCAGCAGAGCTAGCAGGAGGGGGGGCCTCCTCCGGTTCTTGCTTCTTGACAGGCGGAGCTGGGGGTGGGACTTTGGGCCGGGTCAGGGTGCTGGTCCGACGACTGAGGTTGGGCTTCTTGCGCTTGTCAATGTAGGAGCAGGGGGCCCAGCCCTCCTTCTCTCCGATCTGCACATACCACCAGCCCCCGGGGTTCTTCTCTATCACCTACACAGCAAGCAATGGAAGATAAAAGCTATGTCAATTAAAGTAATGGAATCTGTCAGAAGTGTTTCATGTTTTTTAACCTCTTAAGCACGGCGGTCCCCCCATTGGACCCCTCCCACCGTTTTTTTTTCGAGATAATGTCTCAGGGCTTCTTAACATTTATGAAACTATTAATGTGTAGCACCAGATTAACGGGAAGAATCTCAGCTAACTGAAGATATGAACCATTTTTACCAAAACAAAACACAAGTCTCATAAGAAGCGTCTAAATGACCCCTGAGCGAAAAAATTCTAACGCACTGCGGCACACAACTCAAGATAAAGATACCCTTATTACTTATCGTAGCTGCACATACAATATAGCCGATTAAAGCTGAGACTCCACTGATTATTTAGGTATAGTATCATCACTGAGCGATCCGAACTTGCGACAGGGGAAGCAAACACAGACATCACAACACGTACCTTTACGGAGCTTTTACGGCAGATCGTCTCACCGTAGCTGTCAATTAGGTCAAAAGACGTGTTCAATGGCATTAAAACGAAAAAAAAAAATGCTACAACTGTTGATCCATAGGTTGATAATGTACCTGTGCCTTTGAAGAAATTATTTATAATCCATAATTCCATTTTTTATGTAAAAATCGGAGCGGAAAAGTTAGCTGCTAATGGTAGCCACCAGAGTGTATGCAGCTTCCGGTTTTGGTAACGCGTCACTCTCACTCCTTATTTGTTAACGTTTTGGTGTGTATATAACTTTCCCTCGATTCCAATGGCTCTAGCGGTTATAAAGAGATTTCATTCATCAAAATCGAGCAAGGGGGGCCAGAGATAGGTCAAATCCACCCAAATGACCCCAGAAGTGGGTTTTTTTGGCTAAACCTCTCTAAAAAGGTCAAATGTCACTTGTTTTGCATCAATCTTGATACAGGGTACTTATTATATGTTGTACTTTGGATTCCTAAAGCTTTTAGTCTACTAACCCATCATCCAAGGGTAGTTTTCGCTATAAGTAAAAAAGAATTGTTGGACGGACACTATAATTTACAGTTTTTTACTATGTAAAATCTGAATTTTCTTTAAAATAAAAAACATCTATATTGATTCTGACTTTTCTACATCCAACTCACAGGTTTATCATTACTTTGAGAAAAAAGATTATTAATTTAACCCTTTTAGAAGGGAAGATATGGTCATTTGTTCTGTGAATGTCATTTTCGAGCCTGAGACCTGAAAAACAGGCTCAGGGCTAAAGAGGTTAAGAGGCCGCTTTATGCTTTTTGGGCTTACCCCTTTCCTTTAGTGTGTTTTATAATGTTTTGTGCATGGAAATGCTCTGCAAAGACTAAAATCCCAGAGTTTCCTCCAGAGGGATTCTCCCCCCACAGCCCCCCCCAGCCTCTAATGGCTCAATTGGACTACTTTGTTTTTCTTCCGTAACATAATGACATCACTACGTACTCGCACTTCTATTGGCTACAAATAGAGTGCGACAGACGTCGTGACTGGTTTCAGACAGAGGGTGAAAAGAGGAGCTGCAGAACAGGCATTATGAGAAAAATAAAGAGCTTTTTGAACATTAAAGCATGGAGACTAATACAAATAAAAAAATTACCATAAAAGAGCCACTTTAACACTTTGTAGAATTTGCAGGACAACATAATCGGAAAAAAAAACATACAGGAATCTATGTTATCTTCATCTCTCTCCTAAATTCCGCGCAGAGCAAATTCTGACTCCATCATGAAGTTCAAAAAACAAATCTCAAGGTTGCATCTCCTTTGCTTCTCTGTATCTTGGGAGTATTCAGTTATACATATTCAGTGAGCCCTGGCTGTCTAATCTCAATGACGGCAGTGTGGATCTTACATCAGCCTTTTGTCCTCCACGGAAACTGATGCCATCAGAGATGGAGGACTGGAAATCTGCTATGGTGTAATACTCTGCTTCCACAGCAGGGGGTGCTGGTGGCTTTGGTAACTGGAGTCCCTGTGCAGAAAATGGGAAGAGAGGTGAGCAGCTGACATCATAAAAAGCTATCATTATCTGACTATATCTTAAGAATGAGAAAGGAATAGATCATAATAAAGGATGTTCAATTATGAAGTGATGTGCTGTATGGCTGCATATGAAAATATTAAACATATGTATTAGTGTGGACAGTATTTAAGTGTGCAGTGAGGGATTGAGATGATCAAGGACTTGCGGAAATAATACTGTTGTGTTATTGCTGTGCTTTCATGGTTGCTATGGCAAGTCTCACAGTAACCAGGGAGCTAATTAATAATCGTTCTTCTTATGTTGTTATTCTAATTCACTGTATTTATTCTGCTTTTTATTAGGAACTCGTGTTTGTAAATGTGCTAGAACACAATGTTTCTGCTGAATCAAATCATGTGAAAGAAAGCCCTCTTGGGTATTGTTATGGAGCAGCAACTGGCAAAGTGTCTTACCAAGTTGGGTTCTCTTCGTGGGGGAGGTTTTTGTCTCAGATTTGGAGACCCTGATAAACAAAGAAAGATCTCATTAATACATATTTGCAATGCCCTTAACCAACATTCAGCAGTTACAGGAATTATGGAGTTATATTTGAGCCTCATTCCTGTGTATGCAAAGACAGAAATTGTTCACTGTTTATTGCTCAGCAGGTTGACCTCCACATTTGAACACCAATTTTATCATTTTGAACCGTAAATGCTATCGCCTGAAGTAAAAAGTTAACGTTAGGCTATAAAAAGAACTACGTCACGGTCACATGACTTAAAGGTAGGGTAGGTAAGTTTGAGAAACCAGCTCGAGATCGCTAGAATTTGAAAATACACAACCGGAGAAAATCTGCCACTTCCTTATAGAGCCCCTCCTCCAACACACACGAACGCGCACATGACCAATGAGGGCACGAGATAAGTTTGTGCACAGATGGAAGGCTGACAGGCAGGTAGGCCATCCAGTTATTTTAGCCGGGCCGGCTAAAATGATTGGTCGTGCTTTTTACAGTACTACAGCTTCCACAGATGACATTTTTTATGCATTCTTTGTCAAAGCACTTAAGATATTCATTGCTATCAGGATGTTAAGAGCATTCCATGGAATATAACAAAAAGTGTATCTCGAGCCGGTTTCTCAAACTTACCTACCCTACCTTTAACTTAATCACCGCTATACTACAGATAGCTAATGTTTGACGTGATGACGTTTAGCAGTCTCATTAAGCCACTTGTCAGCAACCACCATTTTGATGACACATCAAAGCATTGGACATTCACAAGTGGAGTATTTCCTAACATATTTTATGTCAAAGAACAAAACATAAAAATCTCTTCAGCTTGTATTACAACATTCCAAGACTCGGGGAATTGCAATGGCTTAAATGCTTATTCATTTCAGAGTTTTAGGAGTAATTCCTGCACCACTCTTAATTGTCGCTAGGACTGACCTCCAGCCCACCTCACACAAAATAATGTCGATGGAGCATGAGGAAAGCTTCAGTTGTTTTGCTAACAGTATTATTGGTTACTAAACAGGAGAGGTAAAGCAATCGAAGAATGTAATGTAGTTTCACAGCTTCATGAAAATCCTTCATACCTTATGAACCTTTTTGTCAATCTGGTTGAACGTGTATTTTTTCTATTGCAGCCAAGCTGTCTTGGTAGGTTGCTATGTAACTAAGCAAGTTGTTTTCCTTGATGATAGCCAGCTACATATACTTTAATTTATAATCCCCCATGTGCTTGACAAATAAAACTGCTTTATATAACTGTCTGAGTGTAATATTTAAACTCTGTAAAAACGATTATCACTGTGTGTATAGAACACACTATATTTATTAGCCCAAAACATATTTTTGTTTGCTTTATCAACAATGTTTTTGCAGTAAGATACTTTCCCTACAATTTTGATTATGCACATGCAAAACACACGCTCAGGAATGAGGCACTAATGTAACGTCATAAGTCACATAAGCTTGAAAACAAAATCCACACAGTTCTTAGTGTGTGAGTAAAATAAAAATCCACACACCAAACCCACTGTCCCATGTTAAACACTCTCACAGATTAGTGTGACAATGCTATTAGATTACACCACCATCACCATTAGATACACCATCAGTGACGTAGCTTACCTATAGAGTCAAAGCCTACACAAAAGGAAAATGACACGTCTTAATGTCTCATACAGAGCTATAAATCCTCCTTGGCTGCAATGCATTTATTGCTCAATTGTACTCTGACACGCTACAAATACTCACCAATTTCCACTCTATGCGGGGCCACTCTAGCAACAGCTGGGGACCCTTGCTCTTCCCTGGCTAGACTTTTTTTGAGTGCAGCACTTGCTGCTATCCCCAGACAGGGGCTGTTGGTGTCACGGCCAGCGCTCAGCCTCCGGCCCGTCTCCGCGTTGATCTCAGAGTTGTACGGCATGGGCAGGCTGATCTCGCTCTTGGAGATGTGGCGCTCGGGGGTGGTGCTCCCCTCCCCCTCCGTCTGGATGTCCTTCTCGCTGACGGACTTCTTCTGCAGCAGGTTGCTGATCTCCATGATGTTGCCGATGATCTCCACGGGGCCTGTCAGCGTCTTTTTGCGGGGGGAGAAGTCATCTTTCACCTTTTGCAAGTAGGAGGCAGGGGCCCAGCCCTCTTTCCCTAAGTACCTGTGGGTAGAATGCAAAAAGACGGAGTTTTTAAAGAGGACATATATTTGTAATTTGTGTTTCTACTGTTACATGTATACTTGGTTTATTCTTCAAAAAAGTCTTTATTTTTCTCCAACTGCCTCTTTTTTCACCCTCTGTCTGAAACCAGAGCTCAGTCTGCTCTGATTGGTTAGCTGGCCGGCTCTGTTGTGCTTGGTCAATCTTTTAGAGATTTGTAACTACTTTGTGTAGGAAATCTCCCTCCCCTTAGCCTATCACACACAATGTGATGGAGTGCTAGCCAATATAAATGCAAGTGTAACTGTATATAGTGATGTCATTATATTACGGAAGTAAACAAAGGAGTCCAATGGAGGCGTTTCAAGTAGGGGGGGGGGAGTGTGTGGGAGTAAAACTCCCTCTGGGGGGAACACAGGGATTGTAGCCTTTGCAGACCATTAACATGCACAAAAACCTTTATAACACACTACAGGAAAGGGAAAATCCCAGTAAGCATAATCGGGCCTCTTTAAAAGAAATGATACACATAAAGTAAACATCATGTTATGGGGGCATTGAGTTTAAAAGCTCTGTACAAAGGCCTTACATGGATTAGGGATTCAGATATGTTTACAGCGTGACGAATACAACAAACAAATCTAGTAGCTTCTGCTTCTTGTTTTTGACTACTGGTTTTCTATAACGGCCTTCAGGTTCAAAGCAACATTTACTTACTGACTAGATCACCACTTATAAATAAGCATTAATAATATCTTGACTGCAAATCATACCTAGAATGAATAATCAACTACATTTCCATATTAACTGGTATTTCAGAGTGTAATAAAATAAACCAAAGAAATCCTGTGTATTGAAAACAGAACACTGTTCTAATTCTAGTGACGCAGATGTAGCCAAGGGGAAAGTAAACAGCCTCAATAATATATGCAGAAGAGTATCAGCTTCCCCACATTGCAACAATCATTGCAAAGCTAAATGAGTCATTTTAGGGTGCTTTGTGAAACAATAAGTAATGTTTCCAAATGCAACTCTGACTCATTTGCCTTTAGGTGGGTCATTCTCTGTTTAGAAGAGATGTGATCATTCCAGCTCCCCTGTTGTACAACTCTTACTGTGACCACAAGGAGTCACCATAGCAGAGAAAGGCCCATGCTTAAACTTCTCTAAGCAAAAACATCCAAATAGTATTATTTCCTGTTGCACAACATGATCTGGAACGACTTGTTGTGCATTGCAATGAGGGCCAAAGTACATTTTATGTATAAAGCTACATATAAAATGTCTTCGAAGTGTTTTAAATCTGTACAGCACCCTGTATTCTTCGACACTCCATTTAAACACAAAATGCTGTTTCACATATTAGCCACAAACATCATGCTAGCACACATTAGCATCTTTAACATTGGCTCTGTCTGTGTGTATGTTTGTGTGTGTATGCACACCGCATGTGTATGTCACATGCCACGAGGCAGCATGTGATAGTAATCAGCTGTGCAGTGGAGCTCCACTCTCTTTAGCCCCCGGGGATATGAGGAAACAAACAACTGGCAGGAAACACACACTGGCTGGGTAAACAACACACATATGCACAAACTGGAGACACACATATACACATTAGTAACCCAACAAGGGACATGCAATTGACCTGTGGAGAGCGCCATGTGTGAATCTCAATGTCTTTATGCAAATACAAGCTGCAGGAAACAGCAGCGTTCCTCACAGCACTAAGCAAAGAGGACTATCAACCACGCCACTACTCTCAAATGACTTGGATTTAAAAAGTCAATAATGCTCATCTTCAGCTTTCATAATTGTATTATTTGTGTCTCTACTGTAAAATGTTTACATGCTTAAATATTCAAAAAGTGCTTTATTTCTCATACTGCCTGTGGGGGCTGAGTCTGTTGTGATTGGTCACGTTGGAGAAGTCCCGCACCTTAGCCTATCAAGTACAATGTGTTGGAGCACTAGCCAATAGAAGCGCGACAAATTGAAGTCACTATTTTCTACTATACTATCCAGGTATTTTAATCTCAGCAGTCCATCCATTTTGGTGTCACTGAGCAACTGTCCTATCCAGTATCCAGTCCCCTTAATACACCCATGCTTTGACTGTTCAGCGTTTACTCACCTGATGTACCACCAGCCCTCCAAGTTCTTCTGGATGACTTCCACGGTGACCCCTTTCTCAAAGCTGACTTCATCCTTCCCTTGACTGGCGTGTGGCTGTATCGTCAAATATTTCTCCTCTGGATGGCACGAGGGGTGAAAGAAAGACAAAGAGTAGCCAAGTGAGTGAACTGTTATCATTAAACATTGAGGGGTTAGACCACCGTTTAGTTTACATCTTTCCAGAGGGCCTTATGAGGGGGGGGGAAATGGTGAGTGTGACCTACTTAACACTAGAACCGCCAGAGGTTTTTGTATACCTAAAACCGCCACCTGGGTCGAATTGACCCGCTATTAGAATGCATTGATTTTCAAGGTAAAATGTTCTTTTATTGAACAGTGAGTTTTGATCGCACAGGGATGAAACGTATACCAATAGAATCTGTGGACTCTCAGCTTTTCATATGACAGGGCTCGACATTATAAATGGCCCGCTGGCCCGGAAGTATTATTTAGACACCCCGGCCAGCATAACGTACTTTCAACTCGCCCCACAGCTGTTTGCTGCGGAGCGCAGTGCGAGCAGTCTCCCGTGAGCGGCAGCGCACTCCTTCACTACAGACTGTCTCTATCTCTCTCTCTCTCTCTATCTATAACTATCTATCAATATATCTATCCTCGATAGATATATTGATAGATCGTTATAGATAGATATATATATGTTATAGACTATCCATCTATCTCTCTCTCTTTCAATCTATCTCTCAATCTATAGAGTGGCGAAGTCCCTCCCCTTCCGGTGGACCTCCATGGGACCTTATTTCGGAAAAATTATGTATTGAAGTCAATGGAGAGAGAAAGATTATCTTTCGATCCCGTTTGAATTGTGCCACGAATTACACATATGATGTTTGTCAATTTAAAAGATAATTTTGCAAGTCAAAAAAAATAAAATGTGTCGTAAAACTGTGAAGTAACACATTTGTTTGTGTGAAACGCTCAATGAACTACATCTCTGGTCAACAACACACGTCACCAAGATGGCCGTCACTACTGTCTTGTCAACAAAACGATTGACTACCCTCACTATCACCACAATGAAACACGTCCTGAAGAATGTCATGCAAAGCTGCCTGCCTGCCTTCCTTTGATTCTCTCTGAACTGCCTGGTCGTTTTAATGTTTAATGTCAACCATTTGTGCAGATAGCATGAAGTAGAGAAGATCGTCGATGCTAGCGTTAGCGTTAGCATTTCTCCCCCGGGCTTAAATGGTGTATTATAGAATGATCACACCGGTGACAGTACTATTCAAAGGGTTCACGAAATATGACTACTACTCTTACTGTTTAACATTTTGGGTTACTTAATGTTACTTCATGTTAAGGCTAATAAAAATGACAAGGCTGTAATGCTAACTAACGTGCTAGCTACTAGCTAGCTTGATCCAGACACTCCTGGTCCTTTCATCAGACGGGAAGCGAAAGAACGAGCAAGACCCATTGCTGGTATAATAACAACCTGGTACTAAGCACACAGGCATCTTGTTAAAGTTATCTTATCTTAGCCAGCGCCATATAGATAGATTCTATCTATATGGCGCTGATCTTAGCTATCTCTTAGTGGAGGAAAACAATTGTGACATCACTTACGCGACTCTGGGATTTGTAGTCTTTCTAGTTACGTATTTTTCATAGTCTTATATTTCAACAGTTTTACGACAAACTGTGACTTTTTTGACATGGAAATGATTTTTTAAGATTGACAAACATCATATGTGTAATTCATGGCACAATTCAAACGGGATCGAAAGATAAGTTTTCTCTCTCCATTGACTTCAATACATTATTTTTCCGAAATAAGGTCCCATGGGGCGGAAGGAACCGCAGTAGACAAAAGGCGTTGCTATAGCAACACGTCATGTTTATATGAAAAGGGGTGGGGTCAATATGACCCACTGGGCGGAAATAGGTATAAATGGCAATTTTTTGGCGATTTCTTCAATCTGACTTCATATTGACAATTTTTAACAACATAGGGTGCTACATAACACACTTTCAGGAAAAGTCACGGACTGGGAGACTTTAATATTTTATTGAAAAAAAGTTACATACAATAAAAAACAGCTCTGGGTCAAATTGACCCGATTGGCGGTTCTAGTGTTAAATCGACTTTCCCCAACACAAACACAACCCAGCTTGTCTTACACAATATTAACAAGGGGCTCCCTCTGCTGGTTGAACCACTCCCTGTTATTTACAACAACTCAAGCTAGTTGGACCCTGATTTAGTGTCCATCTTGCTCTAAAGGGAGATTCGTCTTATAGCAGCGGGCCTCCCTGGAGGAGATAACATATTTGAACCAGGATCTCCCCACTCAGACCCCTGTCTGACCGCTACTCCTCTCTCACGCTTTGCTAGGCTTCACAGGACCCTGTAGGGAAGGAAGTTCTACAATGGGCTTAGTGGGGATTTATAGACACCAAGGCAAAAGATAGGAGCAGAGGAAGATTGGCAAAGGAACCAGCTTTCTGAGCAGTGGTTGACATGTTCAGTGGGCAACAGGATCGTTTATTTCAGTGGGGGATGAATTGGTATGGTATGAAGAGGAAGAAAAACATATGCTGTTTGATGTTAAAAACAATGTATAGACTCATACAAAACACTTCATCTCAATCCTCAGTTAGGACCCACCCTAAAGTGTGCACTGGTGTCTGTGCCTGCAAAGTCCCAACCTTTTGACTGGATTTTGTCTTTTCCATGGCTGTAAGAAAAGTGATTGTTCACCAATAGGAAGGTTGGGGGTAGGGCTGTGCAATTAATCGTATTTTAATTTCGATTACGATTTTGGCTTGCAACGATTACGAAAACACCGTCATCGAAATAAAACGATTATTTTGCTGCATTCCCTTTCGCAATGATGCTCTCAATTTGTCTTGCGTTATACATCCTGCCCGTGCGTGCGCTTTCACCCCTCCCTAAAAGCCCTCTCGGCCAGGTTGTGTTGTGACTTGCAGTCTGTTTAATAAATCCATATAAACACGTTGGGAAGCTTTAGTTGCCGTGTCTCTATTCTCCGGTGCTCCATGCAAGTATAGCCTCTTAGCTCGCTACTTCCGGTTTCCAGATAAGGGGTTACCAAAATAAGAGTACTGTGTGTAGCAGATTAAACATGACAGGTTGTGAGTGACATTAGTTATCATATTTATATATGTTTAGTAGGTTGTGGAAGTGCGCTCCAAAATATTTGTTGATATTTTTGTATTGGTTTTTCAGTTGAATTATACTTAAAGTTCAGGGTAATCAACTGTTAAAAACATAATGTTCAAATTATTATTATTCATTTTTTAAAAGTTCAATAAATGGATGTTTTCAAAGTCAATGAATAATCGTATTTAATAATCGTGATATCAATATTGACCAAAAATAATCGTGATTATGATTTCTGCCATAATCGAGCAGCCCTAGTTGGGGGTTCAATCCCCAGCTCCTGCAGTCAACATGTCAATGTATCCTTGGGCAAGATGCTTAACCCCAAGCTGCTCCCAATGGGCAACGGTGTGTAAGTACTGTATAGGAATGTTAGTCTCCTGAGCAGGTGTATGGCTGGAAAAGATCTATATAAATGCAGACCATTTTTATTTTGCACTGTTGGGACAGGTTCCAGATGCGTCCATAAGGAAGCTACAAAAATGGAGGACATATGGTTGAAAATACGCATATATGTTGAGGCATATTGCTAAGCGGAAAAGGTTGTTTCAAAACGATAGTAAATCTAATGTAAGCTCTAAGGCAGACAAGCATCCTAACTCCAACAACGATCAAGGGCTGTCGCTTCTGGTGTCATTTGGCCTAGAAGAGGGGCCAATTTAGCATGTTTACAAACCCCAACCGAAACTCAGACCAAGCAACAAATCCTATTCATTCTGCCTTCAGGCGCCAAAAAGGAAGGGATCTTTACATGTATGCATTAGTTAGACAGAAGAGAATGTGACCTTAGATGGCTGGAGGTAATGAAGGAAATGTGAGGGGCAGGGATGATATCTCCGAGGTATCTGTGATCATCTGAATGCATGCCTTCAATAGGAGGGGTGCGTACAGATGGCGGGATTCAAGTTCCTCTCCTGCCTGTCAGGGCAGAGCGGCTGAGGTCAATAATGTGGAGCAAAGTGGAATGTTTGGCCCCGAACCTCAGCTCGCAAAGCATGTCGTGTGTGTGTGTGTGTAAGGGGTTGGGGCAAGTGCTTGCAGATGGACATGGAATATCAAACGGGATGGCCTACAGAGGAATCTGGAGCGCTACCTAAATGTGTGTATTGTTATGTGTTTGTATTAACAAACTCTTTGGCACTTCTGTGTGTTGTTCTTTCTCTTGTAGTCACTTTTAATACCCTAAAGGAGTGGAATGAAAAATGAAAGATTTAATTAATCGCATCTATTAATCTCATCTGTGTGTATGCATGAGCGTGCCTAAGTATCCATCTGTGTGTGTGTGTGTTGGCTCCAGCGTCACACTTCAGGGACAGAACAGTGAGTTGAGAGAGCGGTCAGTGGGATTCTATGAATCAGATTAGGGACCTGCTGTAAGTGATAGCACTCTGTGGAGGGAGGCGGTTGTATTGAACCTCGGAGAACAGAACCCCACCAATGAGGTCACTCCGCCGTCAGTAGCCAATCAACACCCCCAGAGAGGTCAAGACCCCCTGACCTGGCTTTGAATCAGACTACAGAGAAGCCAGAGCAAGATGTGCTGTAATTTCATTTGATTCGCGAGCACGCCCTTATTTTATTTTCGAGATCTCGGGATCACGCCCCTGTCTTCTTTATGAAGTGTAACGTGAAAGGCAAAGAAGTCTGTGTCAGCAAACAGGCCACGGAGTATACCACTGCTCTCCTCCATTAGCAAATGACATCCTGCGGGGACATAAATCCTGCACGATGGCTCTTTGTTTTTTGTCCTTTGCCAGTGCTCCTAAATCAAACTGTATCTCAAGTGTCTGCGCCTAGCTGTAAAACCTCACTCAAACGTTTCTTATCGCTAGCTCAGCAATGCATTATCAGGCAGGCACAGTAGTGTCTCCATTCACAAAGCACAAGAGGGAGGAACGGGGATGAGAAGATTGTGGGATGGATAAGAACAAG